CAACACACGGTCACAGCCCAAGCAACAGCAACACACCATGAGAGTTCAAACAGGTTCATGAAAAGGAAACACAACTGATTGCACACACACACACACACACACACACACACACACACACACACACACACACACACACACACACACACACACACACACACACACACACACACACACACACACACATACACACACACACACTCGCCCCTCTTCGTCAGTTTTAGCATCCTGGATCCACCACGAGGCACGTGCCAACGCGGTATGGGATGCCGTAAATCAGACCGTTGTCTGCAAGCACACCTCCGTACCATCTCGCGTCCCCACCGGGGATTCCGCTGATGCTTTGCTGTGTGGCTCGGTTGGTGATGGGATCGATGATCAGCGCCTTGTAATAGTCGCGAGAGATGCCAACAACAAACCCGTTCTTCGCTGTCACGGCTCCATGCCATTTCTGGTAACCCGAAATGCCGCTGATGGTGGTTGTGTCAATCGTCTTTGTGTTGGGGTTGATGATGAGAACAGAGCGCGAGTCGTAAGGAATGCCATAGATGAACCCATTGCCGCCCAAGGCGGCACCATGCCACTTGCGCCCACCAGAAATGCCTGTGATGGTGGTTGTGTCTGCAGTTCGTAGCTTCGGGTCAATGATGAGCACAGACTTTGAGCTGTAGGGAACAGAAAAGATGAGCCCGTTGCCAGCCTGAGCAGCGCCTTCCCACGTGCCACCACTTATTCCAGCGATGCTCGTTGTGTCAACAGTGTTGGTGTTTGGATCAATGATCAGCACAGCAGGACCACTTCTCGGAATGCCGTAGATGAGGTTGTCGTCCAAGCGCAGTGCAGAATTGTAGGACCCGCCGACACCGACGTCTGGGATTGTTGTCACGTCGGCGGTGTTGGTCGCTGGATCAATAATGAGCACAGAGCGCTCATGCCGGGGCAAGAAGTAAATGAGGCCAGTGTGGGCAAGCGCCCCTCCGTACCACTTTGACATCCCCGCCGGAGGGATGAAAGGCCAGTAATTGAGGTTCTGTCAGCAGTGTTGGAGTTTGGGTCGATGATGAGGATCGCCGTGACAGCGGCAGGGATGGCGTAAATGAGGCCATTCGGGGCCAAGACGCCCCCATTCCATTTGTAGTCTCCAGAACCAGCGGAAATGGTGCTCCTTGCAGACGCTGGGCAGGACGCGGAACGGAAGACGTTTAAGGTGTTGCCCAGTGTTTGAATCGCCATGTTTTGGGCTCCAAGCATGTCCTGCTGAACTTCAATGAGCTTCTGTTGCTCCTGCAGCCTGGTGTACATCTGTTGCACATCCATTCCGTTCACAAACACTGGCTGCTGGTCAGGATCGCTCGTGTTGATGTGAAACGCTCCCGTGCCGTCCTCCTCCAGCACCACGTTCCCTGGGCACACGCGACACAGCGCTCCCACCACAAAGACCGCCAGCAGACCTCGTATCATGACTGATGGTGGGAGAGTGATGGGTGGTGTTTTGGTGAAAACGGACGATTGGCGATGTGCTCACCTGGATCTTCACTCTGTTGTCCGGATGTTGTGGGTGCTCCACACAAGAGCACGCAGAGCACGCAGACGCTGCATGACATAGAGCTGAGAGAGCTGAGAGAGCTCGCTCCTCATGCCACTTCCAATCCGCACAACTGGCATCCGGACCAAGTTTGCCGTCAAATCGAAGCACGGAGATGTGTTGTGATGTGAGAGCAGGAGAGCACGAAGCCCTCCGCGCACAAAACAAGCGTCAATTCGTTCATCGCAAAAGATGGCGTCAATGAAGTTGGCAAGGTGGAGGAGGGGCGTTCCACAACGCCCGAAACACGGCCTGGCGAGCGAGCCAACGAGAAGGTCAACGCTGCTGCTCAAGGAGCCACCAATGGACGGCAGGGGCGTGAGGTTGGTGTTGGTTGCTGAGATTGGCAGCTTGCTTAGTTGCTTGCAGCTGCGCAGGTTCTGAAACTCTCCTTGAACCGTGACCCGGCGCTGAGAGGCATCTGCTAGTCTGCTAGTCTGCTGGTGCTTGCTGTCGGTGCCTCGAACTGCTTTGCTTGTAGCCAATCTTGTTGCCCCTGCGTTGCATCCACGCAAGGCGTGACAGACAGACCCCCCAGCCCAAGAGCTCAGGCAAGACTTGCTGACTTGAACTTGGCATGTTTTTGTTTGCTATGCCAGTGCTACAGTGCAGCAGCAGCAACAGGGTGCCACCGTCGCTGTCCCTTGTCGCTGTGGAAGCGCCACACGCCACGGCCGAGTGCACCTCACCGCACCCCTGTACAGCCTGTACTCCTCCTCGTGGGCCACCCCACGTGCCAGTGATAGTGCGGATAGTCGCCGCACTCTTCATCATCCAGCGTCCAGGCTTAACGTCGCGAAAAAAGAGAACTAACGCCGCTACACGCGGTCAAAACGCACAAAACACTCGTGAAGAATTATTCATGTCATCATCTCATTGCGTTCTTATTTGCATGTTGTTGTTGTGCGTTGTTGTTGTTGTCTGACGTGAGTGCAGTTCTCTTCTCCTCGCTTCTTCTTGCAGTGCCAGTTGACGATAGCGCCAATCTTCCTTCCCCCAAACCACAATCCCCACCAACCCCCCCCCCAACCAAGACCAGTCAACCTATCATCGACGCTTAACACCACCTCCCCCTCCAGCCCCTCTCCAGCAGATCATGCCAGCATCGCCAGCCTTCTGCTTGGTGCTGTTGGTGTTGCTACTCGTCACCTTCCTCTTCAACACCGGCGCGCAAGAGCACTCAGAAGACCCAAACAATGCATCCATCTACATTGACGAGGCTGGTCACATGGTGTTTGAGGACAGTGAGGGGCAGGTGTCGCTGAAGGACCTGCTGCAGGCACTGGGAACACTTCAACAGAGCGTGTCCACGCTGCAGAACGACAACGCTGGGTTGAGAAACCAAAACAGCCAGCTGGAGGCTCGGTTGATGACTGTGGAAGAACAGCAGCAGCAGCAGCAGCAGCCAGAGCCATGCATTGCCTTCACGGCAAAGACGGCCATGACAACACCTGGCACGTTCAATGTTTCTCTGTCTTTCACGCAAGGCACCAACCTCCCACGCAACGTGTCTCTCTACATCGAAGTCGGTGGTGGAGGCGGGGCGGGTGCTTCGGCGGGCTGTTCCACCTACAACCAAGCCGGCGCATCCACCTCATTGGTGCAGCCCTCGGCAGCCACGACATGGCTATCCGCAACCGGTGGAGACGCCGGCAAGTACACAGCCGCGTTCGGTGTTGGCCATGGCTATGGCGACGAAGGACCAATTCGCATGGTTGGACGCGGCGGCGATGGTGGCGGTGGCAGCAGCTACATGGACTACACCAGCCATAATGGTGGAAACGGCGGCTACGCAGCCGGCGTGTTTCAAGTGGACTCCGCCTGGTCACGCATCTCGAGGCTGTTGTTGGAATAGGTGGCGATAGTGGCAGCGGATGCTCGTATCGCGGCCGCAAAGGATCGGACGGTTTTATCATCTTTCACCATCCAGCCCACCTGAACATCACCATCACCACGCCTTCGTAACAAGGCACGCTGTGTATGTGTGTGTGTGTGTGTGTGTGTGTGTGTGTGTGTGTGTGTGTGTGTGTGTGTGTGTGTGTGTGTGTGTGTGTGTGTGTGTGTGCTCGCGCGCTCACTTCGTCCTTTCGTCACGTCTGTGTCATCGTCATGAACTTTTCACGACATGTCATGTCACATCACAATCAAGGCCTACTTTCGGACAGCACAAATTATGTATGTCCATGAACCTTTTCGGGGTGATCTCACCATTTATTGCTATGCGGAGTCACTGGTGCAACTTTCGTCCATGTCACACGCAGACACACCAAACATCAAACACGCAGCAGGCCGCCAGATCAAATACAAACAAAAGCACGCCCTTCCGCGCCCCCAGGTCCATTCACAGCCGAAGCGCAGCTCAGTCAGCAGAGACAGCACTATGAGTGAGGCGGCATCCTCCTTTGGTCTCGACACCAATCAACTGCGACAAAACCTTACTCCGTGGAGCGACAGCGCTTGGAGACACCGATCTGACGACGTTCATGACGACACACCAACCCAAACACTTTTTGAGAGAAGGGGCCATGGAGAGACATGGTCTGTGCCAGACAGAGAGTCCATTGTGGTTGAAGGCGATGACTCTGTTGTGGTTGAGCGCTGCGCTCAGACATGCCAAGGTGAGACTTGTTGAAAACTTCATCGGCTTGTGTGAACGCAGGTGCTGATGCATGGGCACAGCACATGTTCACATTGCAACATTGTTGATATGGACCGTAGGACTGTTGTCTGCTTGATTGATCATTGTCTCATGACACTGCTTTCTTGCATGGTCAAGTGTATTCATGTGAGGACACGCGATTGCATGCACCTCGCCCCGATCTCACCAAACAGAAGGTGTGTGCGGTGTGTGTGTATGTGTGTGTGTGTGCGTGTTTGTGTGTGTGTGTGTCTGCTGTGCGAGTGTGCGTTGGCGCGTATGTGTGTGAGTGAGTGTGTACGGTCCATCCGTCCTTGTGTCTCAATGTTGTGTGTTTGACAATTGCTAAGGCATCCTCCGTGAATACCTCTTCCTCACTGGTTTGCAACTGTGTGTCAGCTGACAACAACAACGCGTGAGCTGGTCGAGCTTCGCCAACCCCTACAGGCTGCGCGCACAGGCTTCATGCTTGTGGGTGGGGGACATTCCGGCAAGACGACCACTCTCCACTCCCTAATGGGTGACGACTTCAGGGAGGACAAAGCTCGCGTCATTGGCACCGACAAGCTGGATCGTTCTGTCGTCGTGACATCCATGGACATCTGCAACTGGCAGGTGTGTGCGTGCGTGTGTGTGTGTGTCTATTGTGATCGCAGCTTGTCACTTACTGGAGGGCAAGTATCTTTTCCAAGCTCACATGTGCACCTGGATTCCACCATGTCACAACAGCCCCTGACGCACGACATCAGTGAATTCGTGCGCACGCTGTCGTACACGGCCCTGCAGAGGACGATTGACCAGCAGCAACAGCTCAAGGAACAGGTGCAACCTGCAGAAGGCCATGGCATGCAAGACGACAAGCCCCGCCCCTCCTTCTCCTTGTCGCTCAAGCATGAGCGGTCTCATCACACATCTACGACACAAGCCAGCAGGTGTTGCCCCACTGCCTCCACCGAGGAGATTGAGAAGGCAATCAAGGGCATGAACATTTATCTGCCCATCGAGGCAAGCAAGCCTGGGGTCACCTTCAAAGTGTTTGACCTGGGAGGCCAGTCCACCTTCCACATCTTCTACCCGTTCTTCTTCACCAAGTGAGTGGGATGTATTTGCATGTGCGTGTGCTGTGTGTGTGTGTGTGTGTGTGTGTGTGTGTGTGTGTGTGTGTGTGTGTGTGTGTGTGTGTGTGTGTGTGTGTGTGTACTGACCACCGCTCCCCCGCACCACCGCAATTGCCTTCACCCCACACCCTCCTCACTCCACACCACTCCCACAACAGGTACGCGGTGTACCTGCTGGTGTTTTCCATGGAGGACCTGCTGCACCAAGACGAGAGCAAGCGAGCAGAGGCGTGGGAGTTTATGGAGCACTGGTTGTCTTCCCTCCACCTTCACGCGAAGGGCGCACCCATCCTCATCGTCGGCACCTTCGCTGACAAGATCAACGAGCGGAAGCAGCACGAGGGCATCTCACGTGACATTTACAGTCGCCTGCGCCACAATCCCGCTTTCCCTGGCGTCATCCACAATGACAAGCACGGGCTGTGGTTCTGGCCCGTTGACAACACCAAGTCCATCCGTGACCCCATGATCCAGGACCTGCGCCAGACCATCTCCTCCACAGCACTGGCGCAGGAGTACGTGAGCCAGGAGGTGGCTGTGCCGTACCTCCACCTCTACGACAAGCTCAACGCCATTGCCCGCGACGAGAAGCGGCCGCTGCTCACGTTTGATGAGGTGGTGCAGATTGCACGCACATGTGGGCTGCCCACATGCGAGGAGACGAGAGCCTGCCTCCAGTTCCTGCACCTGTACTCCATGGTGCTGTACTACGACCACGTGCCAGGCATGGAAGACTATGTGATCCTGAGTCCACAGTGGGCGGTGGACACAATGACGCGCGTCATCCGCAACTTCGACCTGCACCGCGATGTGCGGGATGGCGAGGCGAGGGCCGTTGGCGCGCAGGTGTGGGACGACCTCGTTGACCGCGGCATCCTGCACCGTCGCCTGCTTGATGTTCTATGGAAGGAGTTGGGAGGTGACATGATTGAGCCTTTCATTTGCCTCATGAAACATTACGGCCTGTGCATGGAGTACACAACACCAACGGTGCAACTACCCAGTCATCAACAGCAACATCAACACCACCAACAGTACCTGGTTCCTGCCGTTCTGCCAATGACGATTCGCCACAACACCAGCACGGTGGCGTCCGTGTCACTGAGCACGACGGCAGCACAGCAGGTCAACCCATATGTTGGTTATGAGGAGAAGACGGCGTTTATCGCCTTCAGCCTGAAACCATTCAAGCGAAGTGCGAGCGTGCGAGTTGAAGATGCGCAGCAAGCGTCATTCCTGCCAGAGGCTTTGTTCACCGTTGTACTGGCCCATGTGATGGCGCATGCACAGCACGGTGCATCGCAGGCGCCCAAGCTGAGTCGCACCCATGCCATCTGCTTCATGGAGTCGACCAAGCTGGAGCTGCAGCTAGTGCCGGCTGTTGGCGGCATCAAGATGAAGATCACGAGTGCACAGCCGCGCGCCATGCTGCACATGCTGCACACCATGATCAGCGAGGCCGCCAGAGAGCGCTACCCGGAGCTAAAGAGCAGCCTGTTGGTGCCATTCGACGCCAAGACGCTGCTGTTCTTCGAGGATGTGCTGCACCACCACAAGAGCAAGCAGGACATGTGGGTGCACGAACAGCTCCTGTCACCCGATGACCTGATCACCAAGTATGACCCTCTCCTGCCCGTTCTCGGCCTGCAGGACAAGTACGACGTCTTCATCAGCTACAGGTACGCTCTGCGGTTTGTTGTGCTGACACTGCAAATGTTTTGCAGCACCTTGACGCAAATGATGCGTCCGCTTCCTCGTTCAGACTTACCCTTCCTCAATGCTTGAACACTCCTTCAGGCTCGAAGAGGTCTTCGCTCTCTTGTCAGCAATCGCCAACTTGCAAGGCGCACAGAATCGGCTCAAAGTGCGCGCAGATGCGTGCGACATACTTCCGACGCCATTGCTGCGACGCACGACCCTGAACGCGTTGGCCCAAAGCACCGTCGTTTGTCCCGTCATATCTGTCTCATCGATCGAACAGATTGTGAAGGACTGTCATGACGGCAAACCGAGTGAGCTCCTGCTCGAGTGGACAGCTATTCTTAGTATGAAGGATCTCGTCCGCGGCGACGACAGCGCAGCTGCGCAGAAGCTACGCCTGCGAACCGTCATTCCAATTATCGTGGCAGCCCCATCTCACCGGAGCGATGATGCCGCCGTGCCAGCCTCACATGAAATCGTGGTTGTGATGCAGCGGGCCGCAGCGCAGTTGCCGGACACTTCTCATGACCCAACAATGACCACGCTTACTTCGGAATGGAATGTGGGCGTTCAGCTGCCATCGAACCTGCCGACACCGCACGTGGTCGTTACAGAGTTGATGGGGAGGGCCGAGGCTGCCGCTGTACCGGTGCTTCAGTCACAACATGACGACTTCGCCACCAACATCGAACGATACCTTCTCATTATCATGGACTCTGTACAGGAGCACGGACAATCTGTACACACACGACCAGAAAGTGCAAAGCAACTGCGACAAAAGGCAAAACAATTGTTCAACCAAACTTACCGACTGCTATGGGGCTTGTCACGGAAGGATCGCGTATTTCTGGCTCAGGAGTGCGACATTGATGCACCCGTGGACATGACGATTCAGGACCTCATTCGTGGCCTCACAGACACAGTACCTGAAGATGACCCGCTTGGCCTGCCTTTCTTCCATGCGGACAGCCGCCTTAAATGTTTGCTGGAGTGCGCTGAACGTAGCCTGGGTCCAGACAAGGAAGTGTGCACACGGATTCGTCAACGGCAACAGATCCTGGCACAACTGGATGGACAAGCAGGCTCATCTTCGGCCGAGGACCAGTCTGCTCATGGCTTGCCTGGTTTTGTTCCGAGAGTTCCATTGCTGTCCTGCTTCCTGCTTCTTGCGCTGTTCTTTGTCTTTGGTTACGGTGCGTTCTTCGCATCACTCAGTGTCAGTGTCAGTGACTTGTGTGCATGGCTTCTGCACTGGATCGGCCTTGTTTGAGCAATACAGCTTGTGTTTCTCGTTTCATAAATGGCAGTGGTCATGTCACTCACAGAAGCATTTCGTGCAAAGGAGTAAACTGTTTCCAATAAAGGCAATAATTTCCTTCGACGAAAGGGGAAAGGAGGTGGTGTTCTTGAAAGAACCTTGAGGAATTTTGTGCGAGGTTTCGTGTGAGGATGCACTTCACAAGCAGAAGCACTTCATTTTCTGCATGTATGTTGTTCACTGTCACTGACCCAACATCCAACATGCCGACAAGACGGGAGATTAACTCTGCGTTTGCCAAAATCAAAGGCGAACTGTGGGACCTATCACCTGGTGACATTGTCAAGCTGGCATCGGCTTGTGGTTTCAGGGGCAGAAATCTTTCTGGACCAGATCTTATCTACAAGCTTGAGTCCCATGTGCCCGAGAATGAGTCATATCCGTACCTCAGTCCCAAAAGCACCATGCAAACTCTTCTGGAGATTGCTCAGGATTCGTTGGGTGTGGAAGGCGCTGAGCCCCGGCTTTGTCTTCTTTTGATTCGGTGGCAGGAGGTGTCTGGCCTTCGACCACAACCCCGTGCTGAACCTGAAGTCGTTGTCAATCCCCCACGCCTTGAGCCACGGCAACCCGCAGCACACCAACCTCCTCAGGCAGCATCGGCGGAGGTTCCACCACAGCCCCAAAGACAGTAAGTCACTTTCGATTCAAATGCTGCTGTCATGCATTGTGGTGTTCCGGTCCTTGTGCCACACTCATCGTGCTGTGCGTAATGTTGCTGTTTCAGAGTTGTGGAACAAGCCGAGGAAGACACCAGCCAGACCAGTCCTCTGCACACCGCTCCACCACAGCAGTTGTTGGAGTTTATCGAGAACGAAATTGTCAACCTCGAATCACAAGACAGGGCGAAGCTTGCCAATGAATGCAGACTGGACAGCACCTTGAAACCAGCGGAGCTGGTGCACAAGCTGAAAACAACACGAATTGGACGATATCCAATCCTCAGCGGTGATGGCGACATGGATCCACTTTTGGCAGCTGTGGAACGCGCCCTGCCCCGAGATCACTTGCTGGAGAAGCTGATTCAGCTGTGGCAAGTTGCTGCAGACAAGAAACCTGGCGATCGAGACGAACTGGCAACTGCGCTGCTAACACAATTCTGTCCCTTCCAAGTGCCTGCTGAAACAGCTCCACCGTAAGCCGCTCTCCATTGCTGTTAGACTCAAAATTACTTGACTTTTGCGCTGTTCCTTGTTCATCCATTCGCAACACGACTGCTTTTACCCACCCTCACGGCCACCACTTGTACGCGCTTCGTTCCTTGTCAACATAACAGGGTTGTGATCGTTTGTGCCAAGCCATACGAGTTTGAAGCCATGAACCGCGCACTTGCTCGTTTGGCGGACGTTCGCCGGCACCCGTCTTCAATTGGCCATAACTTTGAGAGTGGTTACCGCGGCGAGGAGCGTCTGCCATTCAATCGCTACGATTTCATCATGAGGAAGCGCGGGAAATCGATTCCCATCACTGTGTCGCGGTTCACTGCAAAGCTGCAAGGTCCAGTTGAGTGCGGCATCCATGCAGGCCAGGTCATCACCACGCTCAAGCCGTCGCACATGGGCATGATTGGCGTCTGTGGCGGTCATCGCCTCGGAGACATCATCATCGCCACCGAAGCCAAGGACGCTCGTGCCGGGCGCATGGTCATCTCCGCGGACGACGCTCTTGAAAGCGTGGACCCCGTCGCCTACGACCCAGACTTTCAGGGCTACTTGCAGCGATATGTGTTCAAGCGAGCCAAGCGCCATGAAGTCACGTCCACCTGGACCGGGTCGGGTGTGGTGGCTGACCACCTGGCGAACACATTCCATCCAACCTCGAGTGCCAACGTACACAAAGAGTCAGTGCTTCACACATACCCTCAGGTGCGTGAGGACTGCGCGGGACTTGTTCAACTGGACGAAGGCTTGGACATGGAGGCATTCCCGTTCTTCAAGGCCATTCATATGGCAAACGACTCCAAAGCGTACGACATTACCGCGCTTCCGGTGATGAAGGCGGTGAGCGACACCAGTGTGCTAGCCCTTGGTGAAGGCAGTGACGCAGCTTTGCAAGAGAGGCAGGACACCAACGACTCTGTGTTCTGCCAGGCGCTTGGTTTGGATCTCGCAGAGTTCAAGAGGCAAAAGCAAACGGCCCAGCAAGACCCCAAGCTGCACGAGAAGCGTCGCAGGCGCTTCCGAACCATTGCCGCCGCTAAGGCCGCCGCCGTCATGGCCGATTTCCTCGACCAGGCCCCATTCCTTCGGAAGTGATGGCTCTCATGCCGCGCGAGTGTCTTCGTCATGTCATCACGCTTGCTTCCATCTCACTGCCTGTGACGCCTCACTCAACTGGCATTTGTTTCACCTGTTGTATTGTCCGTTGTCGCTTCCACGTTGCCCACCCTTCCACACGCCGCCTTTGGTGTTTCCTTCGCTTTTTTCGTTCACTTCCTCGGTCAGTTGCAGAGCTGTAGCCTCTTTTCATCTTCTTACAACAACGTTTCTGAAGCACCATACACTGGTCTTTCTCAGTCCCTCGAATGCATAGAAGCAACGGTCACACAGAGCCAAAAGAGGGCACGATTAGACGCGCATGGGCCTCTTGCTGTCGGTGCAACTGCCAGCACCACTCAGCACATCTGCGATCTTCTTGTTGTGTGTGCGACACAAAGAGCGCGGTTCCATTGCCCACTGCATCGTGGAGTGGCTGCCACTGCTTGTGCAACAGATCAATAACACACGCGCAGCAGCTGTCCCTCTTCTATTGTTGCACCACAGCGACGAGCTGCTTGCTGGCTGGCCAGCTTGCGTGAACGCGTGGAAGGCCTTCTTTGTGATCGCATCCACAAACCATCCAAGTGCGTGTGCTTGCTCGTTTGCTGTCCTTTGCTTCTTGTTGGCGAAAAGAGTGGCGCTCACATTGACAAAACGCACCACGCTGTTTGCTTCCTTCTTTGCTTGCCATGTTGACAGAGAAGGAAAATCCTTGCGTTTCTGGCAACACCTGCCACCCGATTTGGAAGCACTTTCCCGCCCTGCAGCACAAAGCAAAAAGATAAAACAACACAACAATACACAATACACCACAACAGTTATTGTGTTGTCGCACACACTCTCCACTGCCACAACAAGCCAACGTGCGCTCGCTCTGTTGTGCGACGCATGTGGACGCCATCCGTGCTCTTCTTCACCTTCTTGCTCGTTTGCTGCACTGATGGCTCTTGCCACAGACACAGACAGGTGCACCACGGCGGTGGCAGGATCATGTGTTGTGCAAGAGAAAGCGTGGCGGTTGTTGGGGAGGATCAAAGTTGTGATTGACACAAGAAGGTCGGCACCTTCCCTTCCACATCAACGCATCAACACCAGCCATCCATCCCACTGATGGACTCAAGTCAGTCCAACGGGCATGGTGGACGTGAACGGTGTGCTTGCACCAGTGCAGCAGAGAATGGAGCACAGTGCTGCAGGAGCACCCATCAGCCAATGGCGAGGACGCCTCATAGACAACGCACCATCGTGTGACACGCCTGAAGAGGCAAGTGATGTGCATCACCTCAGCAAACCACAGGGGATATGGCAACGTGGCATGGGTGGTGTCGTGCCCACCCCCCCCACAACAACAACAACAAGAGCAACAGCTTGACCTGTGCGCAGAGACGTGTATCTGTGCCCTCATCGATCCCTACCATCCACCCCTGTTTGACGCAGCGACCACAGTTCCAGCGAGAAACGGCCTCATCTACATGCTGCTCAGCACCTCTTGTTACAAACAAGGACAATGCCCTCATCAGCGACTGCGACACTGTATCCACTATCCTCGATTGATCCAAGGACCACCAACACAGCTGTCTGATGAGGCACGCCAGCTGGAAACGGCATCATCCACTACTGCTGCATCCCACGAAGCACATTCGCTGGCACTCTTGGTGCGGGAGGCAACCTCACAGGCATTCAACGACCTCATCTCCAACGTCCCAGCCAGCAGATCGTTCGACGACGACGATGCTTGCCATCGGCACAGCTCCACATACAGCGATTACAGTACAGTGGGCTGGCGGCGTGCTTGCGTCAAACGGCAACATCAACGACCAGCATCAGGAGGCGTGCTTGCTATGAATGGCCTTGTCCACTGCATTCCTCCCGCCAACGCCGTGTCTCTGCTCGTCATCGACCCAGTGTGCTGATGTGACGAAATGTGGTACGCGTGTATCGTGCATGGGTGCTTGTCTTCTTCTCCACTTGTGTGTCTGCTTCCCTGCTCGGCTTAGATCTTCTTCGTGGGCTGTGTTTCAGCGCCTTTCTGTTTCTTCCACCACTTTGTTCTGTCTCCCTTCCCTCCTCCCTACTAGCCTCCCTGGAGCCACTTTGTGCGCACCCACTGCTGCTGTTACGTCACCCTTCTTCTTGCTTCTGTCCCACGTCATTCTTTCCCTCCTCCTCTTCACCTTGTCTTCCTTTTTGCACGCTCACCACCCTTGCCGCGTGTACTCCTTCCGTTTTGCCGTGGCTCAAACCAATACAGTGAACCTGCAGCGTTTGCGACCATGTTGTGCACTTGCTCTTCATCGTGTGATGGAATCCACGACATCTTTTGAAACTACTACTTCAGAGCTTGCCCCTCATCGTGAAGATCCCTTGCGTTTGGTGCTGAGCACTCACAGCTTCGCACAACACTGACAAAGGTGAAGAAGGAGATGATCTTTGCTTCTCGTCTTCTTGCGGGTGGCCTCCATGATGAGCACGAGCAAAAGCAAGCTGCGCCTCACCCCCAACTGGATTGAGGTGGTCACTCCATCGATCAACGCCCATGCGAGCTGTTGCTGTTGCTGTTTATTGCTGCGGTCTTGTGAACAGCGCACGAAAAGATGGAACGGAACAACAGCGCAAGAATCAATGAAACATGCAAGACATGCGCAATACGAGAGCACTTAGACACACACGCACACACACACACACACACACACACACACACACACACACACACACACACACACACACAATACACACTCAACACGGTTGTGGGCACTGAATGGTGGACACGCTGGAATCGGCCCTGATGCACGAGCCGAGGCCCCTGCAGTCGAGCTGGGTGAGGTCCGTGTCCGTGACATCAAGGTAGCCAGAAACGGTGGTGAGGGCTCCAAAGTTGATGGTGTTGAGGAGGCTGTTTGTGCTGCAGTCCAAGTAGCCGTCAATGCGGACGAGGACAGAGCCAAAGTCGATGGAATCAAAGTCGTTGCTGCTGAGGTCCAAGTAGCCGCCCACGTGTGTGAGCTTGGGAAAGGTTACATTGCCCAGCTTGTCGTGGAGGTATGGTCAAGGAATCAAAAGGAAGCCGCCGATGTGAGCGAGGCTCTTGGAGTTGAAGGCGTCGAGTGAGTTCAAGCCAATGTTCAGGCTGCCGCCAACGCTGGTCAGGTTGCGCAGGTGGGATGAGGTGGGTGTGGTGGTCAATGCGAGATCCACGGAACCCGTGACACTGGTGAGCGAGCAAAAGTCAACGCTGCCGATCGAGTTGTCAACGCTGCTGCTCAGTTAGCCACCAATGGACGCGTCAGTGGCGTGAGGGTGGTGTTGGCTATTGGCAGCTTGCTTGCAGCTGCGCAGGTTCGGAACTTCCCCTTGTACCGTGACACGATGTTGGTCATGCTCGTCAAAGAAGCTGTGCCGGACACGCCGCCAGCACTCAACCACAAACGCGTGGATATGACGGGTGACATGCTGCATCCCACAGCACACCAAGACCTTGTGCGCCCTTCATCTGTTGTGGGTGTGGCAATAGACAATGATGGAATGATGCGACGGTGAGGGGAAAGGGTGCACAGTGGCGCGAGATGGACAAGGACGCGGCCGCTAGCGAAGACACTTGCGTGAGCCCTCCAACATGCATATGCACACGTGGAAAAGGGTCTGGTGCCGCGTTCATCGCATGCCACGCCAACAAAATCCTGCTTCTGGTAGTCTGGTGGCCTTGCCGAGTGTCGCAAAGGATCTGTACGCTAAGTGTAGCTGATACAGCAACAGCCATCAATGTCCGCGAGTACAAGTTCAACATCCTCATGACCCCTGAACCTGCAATACGCGAGATCACAAGTGAGCGCACCTGTGAGAATGCATATGCGCCCGCTCACATCATGATACGGTCATACGGTCGTCTATTATCACACACAGCACACACACACACACACACACACACACACACACACACACACACACACACACACACACACACACACACACACACGCACGCACGCACGCACGCACACACATACACACACACACACACACACAAAACATCGTCTTACCGAACAGCGACGACGTCTGCTTCTGGGAGACACTCAATGTCCACTACACCATCGTGATGCGCAAGTATGGTGCATAGCTCGTGCAGACCCATGGGACACGCGGTAATGCGCACTTCAAGACCCTGCTGGAGTCGAGGCCCACCACGTCGGTGCTGCTGTCCTTGGGTCTTCTCGTGGGGTTGTTGTTGCGTCTGTTGTGACGGCTCACGCCGCTGAGAGGAAGCTGCTGGTGTGCTTGCTGTAGGCGCCTCAAACTCCTTTGCTTGCAACCAACCGTGTTGTTCATGCGTTGCATCCACGCAAGGCGTGACAGACACCCCAGCAATTGGCACGTGCTGTTGAAGGCGCGCATGTGGTGCGTCTCGATGGTGTGCGACCAAAGCGTTGATCCGAGGGGACGCGACAAAGGCGCAATGAGCACAGCGGCTTGTCAGCACGTCGTGTGCCTTCAACGCCGATGCTGCGCAAACCCATGTGACACGAGTCGTCGTTCCATCGCCTTGCTCATCCACGAACGTGAAGCTCACATGCTCCTGCTGGAACAGCGCCTCCAAATCGCACGCACTGCGAGGACAGATGATGCCAAGGTGATCAGGCACATCGGGGTCAAAGACGAGAGGAAAAGGATCAGCCATGTGGCGCCTTCGTGCGGTTCGTTGGGCGGTGTTGACTGTTGACTTCTTGGTGGCAACACCGCAAGGCAATGCTTCGACGGCTTGTGGTGAGGCGGTGAGTGCAGGCCTGCGAGTACACAGAAGCGAGACGGTGGAAGCGAAATGTAAACAAACAAAGGCGTTGGCGCGCATGTGGTCGGGTGCAGCGATGTGTGGTGTGTGCTGCGGTGATGTGGGTGAACGAACCTGCAGACGTAAATGTGCATGTGTGTGCATGACGAGTTGACGCATTGTTGTTGATCACCACGTGTGTGGAAGGGATGTGACTAGCGGAGTCATTGGGGAGCACTCATCAAGCAAAGTCAAGCGGGAGACCGATTCGGGCTGGGGGGGCGGATGCGTGAGCAACAATTGCGTGCGGTGGGCTGGAACATGCACACTGTGTGGGTGGCGTCACGCACAAGGTGCGATTGCCTCAAACACAAGATGCGCGAGGGATGGGAGGGGAGAACAAGGAAAGTCAGCGTGAGCGGTGTGATGTTGTGATGCAGCGTTCTCGCTCCTCAAGTCACCCTGCCAACAGCAGCAGTGGGGAAGGAGACAAGAAGAACAAAGAAGGCACAACGAACAGGCCACAGGGAGAGGAAAGAGGAGGCTGATTTCGCGGATGCTGCCCGCGACCTGGAGACGCTCAAGGATCTCCAATGGACGGCCAGTCACACTGTCAAGCTCAAGCAGTATGAGAACTTCTTCAAGTCTCAGCAGGCTGCTGCTCAGAAAGACAAGCTGCCACAAGCGGTGATGGACCATGCAATGAAAGTCATCGCTGAGCTTCGCGCCAAGCAGGACGAGTACGACCTGAAACTCAACCTCACCGACAAGGGAGCCCTGGACAAGCGATACGCTCGGCAAGAGCGCGAACGCCGCCGCAGAACAGGGCTCTGCAAAGATGGCACGCCGGACATGCGTTTCAACAAGAACAAGGCCACCCACCAAGACATGGCTGACAAACAAGCCGCCAGTCCAAGCGCAACAGTTCCGCTGCGCAAGCCAAGCAGCACGCCAGAATCCACGTCTGGCGAACCGAGGGCTCGCCGTCAGCTTGCCTTCCCACCTTCTTCCCCTGGCCGCGCCACGCCCCAAACAGAAACGGCCGAGCCGACGGCGACTCATACACGAAGCACGGAGACCTCATCAACATCCACTGCGCCTTGCACCGTCGATACGGGAAAGGTCTACAGGTCATCCGGGTCTGCCAACGGGCGCGCCATCTGCAAAGGTCCACGCGGTGGCCTCTTCTACCTGACAGACGCCGGCAACAAGGTGTACATCAAGCGTGAGTCCATGTCCGGCGACGGTGGTGGCTGTGGTGATGGCGTTCTCGACGATGATGATGTTGGTGCTGATGACGGCGACGTCCAGGACGACTTTGCTGCTTCCTGTTCAGCGCACTCCTCGTACGTCGAGACGGATGCCAGTTATGTATCATCTGGGTCTGCCAACGGGCGCGCCATCTGCGAAGGTCCGCGCGGTGGCCACTTCTACCTGACAGACGCCGGCAACAAGGAGTACGTCAAGCCCGAGTCCATGTCCGGCGACGGTGGTGGCTGTGATGATGACGCTGTTGAGGATGGTGCCGATGATCTTTGCACTGGTGACGATGCTGGTGATCTTGGTGGTGGCAACGATGATGACGCTGTTGATGATGATTATGACGACGACGACAATGATGATGATGATGATGACGACGACGACAATGATGATGATGATGATGATGATGATGATGATGATGATGATGATGATGATGATGATGATGATGATGATGATGATGATGATCTGTGAGCTGGTGACAATGATGATGACGACGACGACGATGATGATGACGATGCTGCCGTTCATGCTTGCCATCGCGGCGCAACCACGGCCACAACAACAACAGCAACAGCAACAGGGGCAGCAAGCGGGGAACCACACTGCCTCCACACCTTGTAGCTGCCGTGATTGCGCGAGTGCTGTATGTGTGTGTGCGTGTGTGTGTGCGTGTAGGTTCGTGTGCGTGTGTGTAGAAGTGCGCGCCGGCGTTGTTACATGAGTGCATGCTTTGGCGTGAAGTTCGTTCTATTACGCTCAGTCAACCATACAGCGACAAATACATTCTCAACAGAGTCGAGAGGTTGAAATGAAATGCAACGTCACATTGTGACTACACACACAACCCCCCCCCCCACAAACACACACAGAACATCCCCCCCAACACACACACGCACTTTACCACCTCCACACACGCACGCTGGCGTCCCCCTCGCCACCGGTCACCACCATGCACACGCCGTCCTTGGCTCGCCCTCGCGTGGCAACCGATGACACTCGCCCATCGTGTCCCCGGCACACGCCAGCCTGCTCGCCTGTCAACACGTTCCACACCCGAGCAGTGCCATCGTCCCCCGTGCTCACAACATACACCCCATCCTCACCAGTACCACCACCACCACCACCACAAGCGGCGAGAGCGGTGACGCCGCCTTCGTGGCCGCCGAGGCACTGCGCGTTGTGCAAGCACGCTGCGGTGCTTGGTGTAATGGCATCGCCGTCTGAATTCGCCCACACGCGAACAATCCCGTCCTCGCAGCCGGAGACAAGCCGGTTCGCACCTGCGCAGAACGCCACGCACATGACTGGCGCCGGGTGGGCCTCGAGCCGCTGCAGGTGCTGGCCGGTGCGCGCGTTCCAGAGGCGTAGGGTGCAGTCTGTGCCACCTGACGCGATGACCTGGTCATCGACGCTCAGCGCAACAGAAATGACGGGGCCATCATGGCCATGTAGTGTGGAGAGCAGCTGCCCGTCAAGCAGGGACCACACGCGAATGGTGGCGTCTTCGCTTGCAGAGACAATGAGGGTGCCATCGCCGTTCACAACGACAGCACGCACGGCAGCGGCGTGGCCCACGCAGCGTGCGCGTTCTTCCCACGTCTCTGCATCCCATGTGCGAACGGTTGCGTCCTCGCTGGCAGAGACAAGGTACGGCCAGTGCAGCGCCACGCTTGTCACAGCGCTCTCCTGACCAGCAGTGCATGTGCCCACCCGTTTCCCGCTCAGCGTGTCGTAGATGCACACGCGTCCATCCCTTCTGCCGGACACGATGCGCGAGCCATCAAGGGCAAGGGCGACGGCTGTGGCGGGAATGGCGGGGCGGTCGCACTCTGCAACTTGGCAACCGCTTGCCTCGTCCCACACGCGCAGCGTCGTGTCTTGGCTGCCGGACGCAACACGTGTACCAGAGGGGCTGGCAGCGACAGCGAGCACCCGCGACATGTGCCCGTCGAGTTGGCGAAGCTGCTGGCCCGTGTTGATGTCCCACACGCGAACGGTGGTGTCGTAGCTGCCTGAGATGACGCGCCTGCCATCCGTGCTGACGGCCAAGGCATCAACGCTGCCCGTGTGGCCGGTGCACTCACACATCTGCGCACCCGTCTGCATGTTCCACACGCGAACAGTGGTGTCGATACCGCCAGACACGACGCGCGTGCCGTCGGGGCTCATGGCCAGGACGTTGACGTTGCTCTTGTGGCCTGTGCACTTGGAAAGCTGGCGCCCGTTGTGGGCGTCCCAGATGCGTACTGTCTTGTCGCGACTCGCAGAAACCAGCCGGTCACCGCAAGGGCTGAACGCCACCTCCCACACCATGCGCGAGTGACCAAGGCACTGCGCAACCTCGTGCCCCGTCACCGCGTCCCACACCCGCACAGTGGTGTCGCTGGAAGCCGAGGCGATGCGCCTGCCGTCCACACTAAACTCGACCTTCCACACGGTGCGCGTGTGCCCGCTGCACGTGGCCGTGACCTTGCCCGTCTGCGCGTCGCACACGAGCACGTTCGTGTCGTTGCCGCCGGAGGCAATGCGCGTGCCGTCTGCGCTGGCGGCGAGGCAGATGACCCATCCGTTGTGGCCGTTGCACTGGCACACCTGCTGCCCGCTGGCCGCATCCCACACGCGCACCGTGGCGTCGTTGCTCGAGGAGGCGACACGCGTCCCATTCGCAAACACCGCAATTGCAGACACGCGCCCCTCGTGGCCAAGGCACTCGGCAACAAGCTCCCCCGTCTGTGCGTTCCAGACGCACACGCGCTGGTCATCACTGGCAGACACCAGCCGCGCTCCCTCCTGGCTGAAGGCGATGCTGTGCACTGAGCGCTCATGCGCCCCACCGTGATACCCGCGACGGAGGTTTGGGAGCACAACGGGCGGAATGCAGGCGAGCTGCTCCACACAGCCGCTCGCCCTCCACAGACACCGCTGCGCTGGCGATGCATGCAGGCACGACGACAACGGCACGTGTACATTGAAGTCTGCAATCGCCTGCTCAAGCTCCTTCGCTGGCGCCCAAAACAAGCCCAGCAGCATCTGCGCATGGCTCATGAGAGCAGACAACCGCTCAAACAAGTGCCCATGTCGACTGTCGTGACTGTCGTGGCTGGTGGTAGCAGTGGTGGCAGTCGTCACAGTCTTAGCAGTGGTGGCAGTCGTCACAGTTTTAGCAGCGGAAGCAGCCGTCACAGTCTTAGCAGCGGTGGCAGTCGTCACAGCCTTAGCAGCGGAAGCAGTCGTCGCAGTCAAAGTAGTGGCAGCAGCAGCACTCGTAGTTGCCACCTGCGCCAATTCTGCCATCAGTGGGCGCGTGCGCTTCAGGGTATGTGTTTGCAACAAGAGCCATCGCGCAAAGGCGTTCGTGGCTGCATGTGTGGATGGCTGCACCCGGTAAGAGAGATGGCCGGATTCCGCCCAGGGCAATGGCCTCTGTCGGGGTTGCAAAAAGCAGCGCTCCCACGCCTGTACGGTCTGCAAGCACAGGGTGTTGGTCTGGCTACAATCATTCACGCCCGCCGCCGCTGCTGCACACTCCGCCATGTGCAGGTGTCCAAACTCCAAAGCATACACCACCACCGGCGCTCGCACAGCCAGACGAGCGCTGTCGTCGTCACCACCACCTGTCAGCAATCCTCGTTCCTGCAGCACACGCAGGGACGCGCGAGCGAGGATGGCGTGGCCTCCCCGCACGTCCACAAAGTGAGGGCCAGCCCGCGTCTTGTCCGTAAGAAAGTCGGTGACGGTCTTGTGCAGCGGCTCAACCACGTCATGCTTGCTACTGCTGGAGAAGAGGAGCGACAGCGCGCTCAGCAGCCGCTTCGTCAGCGCCTTGCTCTGCACCCGGCCACCACCGCACAGCTCATGCAGGGCATCCACGCGCAGCGGCTGCAGCGACGCCACAAGCACCGCCAACATGTCATGCAGGGTGCCTTGCAGCGCGGCCAGCACACCGTCGTCATCGCCCGCCGCCTCCTTGAGTCGCGCTTGGATGCGGTCGAGCGTCTCCGTGTACGTGTCGTCAATGAAGCTCTCGCTGGTGCCAAGGAACCCTTGCGCATCATCCACGGTGAGTGGCTTGGTCGAGTCGCCCTCTGCCTCGTCCACAGCACGAGCGATCAGCCGCACCGCCAGAAACTCGCCGTCTGCTTGGTCAACAATCATCTTCACCACCTCCTCTTGCTGGGCCGGTTTCAGCTTGCGCAGGCTGCTCTGCTTGATGACGGTGCTGCGCACAAACAGCTGCAGGTCCTCGCGCTGCCGCTCGTTCTGCCTCCCGATGGTGAACGGGTTCAGACTCGTCAAGAAGGCGAGGACGTTCTCCTCCGGGCGTGACGTCACCACAAGACGCACACACGGTGGCAGTGATGGCAGCAGCCTGGTGATGAACCGCAGAAACTGCTCCCGGCTGCTGCCGTCACACAGCTCATCCAACGCATCAATCAAGATGAAGACATCACCAGTTTCGTGCTGGTGCTGTGGTTGTTGACGTTGCTGTTGCTGTTGTCGCTTCTGCAGTGCAGCCTTGAGGGGTTCAGCGAGCACGACGCTGAAGGCCTCCTCCACGCCACCCTTGCTGCCATCGGCGTGTGCAGCAAAGGAGACGCGCTGCTCCTCATCTTGCAGCACCATCTTGTACACCTGTCTCAGCTCGGGCAACTGGGATGCGAGGCGGTAGGCGAGGGTGCTGATTGCTCTGCGCGCATCGCTGCGAGCTGCATCACCGTGTCTGCAGAAGAAGTGGGCCGCAATCAGCGGTCGCTGTTGACGCGAGGACCCGGCATCGCCATCACTCCGCCTCACTCCGGCCTCAACACCGCTCTCCCCCACCGTGCCACCCATACCATTCTTCACACCACCACCACCACAACCACCACCACCACCACCGCCACCAACAACAATATCACGACCATCACCAGCAGCACCACCACCGAGCTCTCTTTCACTGCCGTACCGCTTGATGAGCTGGGCTGCAATGACGGACTTGCCAAAGCCGTGCACGCCCCTCACCCAAAACACGCGCTGCTGTGTCCGCTCGTGCGGCCGTACACCACCACCACCACTCCTAGCCCACTCTTCAAATGCACCAAACACCCACTGGCGCGTGCCCTCTGCAAACCCTTTGTGGTGCCTGACGAGGTCTGGGCCAAAGTCAACGGGTATCAGCATGGTGCGCAGCGCTGCCATGATGGCTGGCCCCGTCTGCAGCGCCATCGCGCTTGCAGTGGCGGCGGTGGCGGCGGCGGCGGCGGGCATGGTGGGCATGGCCACGGGGGCGTGGTCGTGGCGGTGCTGCTTGAGGAAGGCGATGACGGCTGCGGCGACGGTGCTGGCTTGGTTGGCCAGTTTGAGGAACCGCTGCACGCCCGTGGTCTCCCGCATGGCCTCTGTGGCGAAGAAGGCGTGCAGGTGGGGGTCACTGGCCAGGCCCGCGGCCGGGTGTTGCAGAAGGTCTGAGCCCTTGAAGTGGTCCTCGTCCACCCAGTGCTCGAGCGCATGTAGGAGGCTGCAAATCGCGACAGTGTCCTCGAACCTGTTGGCAGTCCAAAACTCGGCAGCGTCAACCGCACGAGCCTGCTTCAAGAGGGTGTGCAGCCACGCCAGGGCAGGTAGACGGACTGCGGAAGAGGCCTGCTGCTGCTGCTGCTGCTGCTGCTGCTGCTGCTGCTGCTGTTGTTGTTGTTGTTGTTGTTGTTGTTGTTGTTGTTGTTGTTGTTGTTGTTGTTGTTGTTGTTGTTGTTGTTGTTGTTGTTTCTGCGATCGCAGCAGCAGCTGTTGCTGCTGGTCATCACCGGGTGTGGGTGGAGGTGTTGGCGGCATCATGGCGAGGCTGCCGAGATTCAGGAGGGACGAGTGGTGGACGTCACCAGGACGAACACTTTGGGCGAGCAAAATAGAACCGAGTCCACGCTGCAGGCGCAACCTGAGCATGTTTGCGGCAGCTGCAAATGAAGAGTGGCCGAGAGCGCGCAAGATGAGCGGTATCTGTTTGGGCTGCACAGCAGCAGCGGCATCGTGGGTGGGGCGTGTCGCCACTACACGTGCCGTGGTGTGGTCCAGGATGAGGCGGAAGGTGGCAAACGCGCACGTGAGCAGCTCTTCTGCTTCCTCTTGAATGTCGGCGTCATGCGTGGTCGCTGTTTGCCGGTGCACATGCGCCACGATGAGCGGCTTACGACTGACGATGACAGCGGCTTGCCGCGCCAAGGGCTCTGCGTGTTTCCTGCAATTGGCGTCTCGCAATAGCTGCACCTTGTCCATGGCGACCTTGCACAAGTCAATCGCGACAACGGCAAACACCTTGCGCAGGGCTCGGTTGTCGTTGCTGTTGTTGTTGGAGAGGGTGGCGCGGGTTGTACCATCCACAACAGCGGTCCGGAGGGCGTGCGCCTCCTGCGTGCATGTGTTGTTGCCACCGGGTGCGCACAGCGCAAGCCCTTCAAGCTCCTGCAGTGCCCTGGACGTGCTGACGATGGCGGAGGGAGAGGGCGGCACGCGGACGGGGAAGACGCGTGCCGACACCAATGCAGCCTCTGGCTGCGTCCGGCGACGCGACGGCACTTGCATGAGAGGGCGTGTTTGATGTTCCTGGTGGCTCTGGTTGCAGTGTGTGGCATCCTCGCCATCATCGTTGCCGTTGATGTCATGATCGTTGCCGTTGATGTCGTGATGGCTGTCGCCGTTGTGGTCCTCACCGTTGTCGGGCGATGTGTTTGTGCCGAAGCGATGCACGGTTGAAGCAGACGGGGTGAGGCCCCCAAAGTCGGGAGAGATGGTGCCCACCGTGCCGCCCCGCCCACAGCACGAGAACATGGTTTTAACAAGAGAGAGGGAGAGAGACGGAGGGAGGGGTGTGGCGTTTGGTGGAAGGAGTGGAGACGGGAAGGACAGGTGGTGGTGGTGGTGGTGTGGGTGTTTGGCTTGTGTTTGCTTGCTTGAATTGTCGGGTGGAATCCAAGCGTCAAGCAAAAAGAAGAGCAAGATGCAACGCAAACAGATGCTTGCGAATCCTTGAATGGGGTTGGGACAAGGGAGGAGCGTGAGCAAATTGGGAAATTCGCCACCAAAGCCGTGACGCAAATTTGCCTCGCGACACCAAAACTCGCCACTTATCGAACCTTTCGAAGCCATTTGGTGCTTCGAAGTACTTGAAGGATTCATTCACAGTGACGGACACCATAAGAAGGTTCAAGCGTAGGTGCACGACACGCGACAGGCAAAAATGTCGAGCGAGCAAGCGAGCGGACAACAAGAAGCACAAACGACAGCTCATTGCACCACTGCACCAACCTTCCACCTTCCACAACCATGCCACTTGGGGTGTCTGCGGGGTTCTTGCGCGCGTTCTTGGAGGACGTGCAACAGGCGCATGCAGAGGAGTATGCGACGCTGACCACAAAGGATGTGTGCGACAAGGTGGTGATTCCACGCACAAAGGACGCCCAGTGTGCGTATGTGGATGTCATCAAACAACAGCACGACGAACAGCACCTGGGCAATGCCAACGTGTTTGTATCCCACGCCTGGCGGTACAAGTTTGTGGACGTCATCGGCACCATGCTTGAGTTTGCCGACGAACAAGGCCGTCAGGACACTGACGCGTACTTTTGGTTCGATCTCTTTATCAACAACCAAAACATTGCCGCCGATCTCCCACAAGACTGGTACATGTGTGTGTGTGTGTGTGTGCTTGTGTGCGTATGTGTGCTTGTGTGTGTGTGTGTGCTTGTGTGTGCTTGTGTGTGCGTATGTGTACGTGTATGTGTGTGTTGATGCTTCTGTTCATTGTTCTCATCATCCCATGCACACACACACACACACACGCACACACACACACACACACACAAACACACACACACACACACACGCACTCTCTCAACACTCACCCCCCTTCCAATCTCCCCCCCCCACACTCACACCCTGCAGGTGGAGCACGACGTTCAAGGAGTCGATTGCTGATATTGGTCATGTGCTGTTGGTGCTGACGCCCTGGAGTGATCCCGTGCCGCTGACGCGGGCGTGGTGCCTGTGGGAGATCTTCTGCAGCCTGAGCCAGGAGGGTGTGACGCTGACCATCCAGCTGCCCATCGCAGAGCGGGAGGCGCTGAAGGCCGCCTTGCGCGCAGACAGTGAGGCCGTGACAGACACGCTCGTGCGCGTGCAGGCGGAGCGTGCTGAGGCGTGGAACCCCAAGGACAAGGAGATGATCTTCAAGGCCATCCGCGACAGCGTTGGGTTTGGGCACCTCAACGAGCGCGTCAAGGAGCAGATGCGCTCGTGGTGTCTGCAGACGGCCGATGCATTTGTGCACGCCGTGGAACAGGCCAACGGCAATCCCAACACAGCCCCACAACCAAACGCACAACCAAGCACGGAAACAGCCACACAACAAGGCAATTCCGGCACAGCCCCACGGCCAGCCACGCAGACCAACGCCACCAGTGAGGTGATTGCGCTGTATTACCAGGTGGGGGCGCTGATGACCAACTTTGGCAAGCCCGAGCGGGCAATTGAGCTGCTCACACGCGCGCTGGCCATGGAGAAGGTGCACATGGGCGAGCGGCACTCCTCCGTCGGGGACGTGCACACGCAGCTCGGCATCGCGCTGGCGAGCAACGGCAGCTACGATGAGGCCATTGCCCACTTCAACGCCGCCATCGTCATCCACACCGCAGTCTACGGTGCAGACAGTCCGCGCCTGGCTGTCACGTACGGGCATCTTGGTGGCGCGCTGCTGAACAAGGGCGAATACGACGAGTCGATCCGCGTGCACGAGCGTGCGGTGGCGATTGAGGAGAGCGCGGGCACGAGCGAGGAGCGGCGCGGCACGGCATACAGCAACCTCGCCACGGCATATGCCGAGGTGGGCGACTACCGACGAGCCATCGCCTTTCACGAGAAGTCCATGCGCATATCCGAGGAAGCGCGCGGCCCTCAGCACCCGGGCACCGCCAACGACTACAACAACCTCGGCGGCATCTATCAGCGGCTGGCAGACTACGAGCGCGCAGCAGAGTACTACTCCAAGGCGCTGAACGTGTACAGGGAGGTGATGGGTGAGCACCCGAGCACGGCGATTGCGTACGACAACCTGGGCATGGTGCACAAGAACCAGGGCAACTTTGAGACGGCAATTGAGTGCCACCGGCACGCGCTGGAGATGCACGAGGCGGTCATTGGAAAGGAGCACCCAACCACGGGCATGATGCAACTCAACCTGGGCACGACGCTCCTGTACAAGGGCGACACGGACCAGGCCGTGGAGCACCTGATGCAGGCGCTAGGCATCTTCAAGGCGGCGCTGGGCCACCACGCCAGCACCGCCGCCGCATACGGCAACCTGGGCATGGCGTTCCGGCAGCAGGGCGACTACATCGCGGCCATCAAGAGCCACGAGCTCGCACTGGACATTGAGGAGGACGTGTTGGGCCAGCAGCACCCGACAACGGGCATCGAGTACTTCAACGCGGGTCTGGCGTTTGATGCCATCGGACACATGCGCGCGGCGGTCGACTACCAGAAGCAGGCGCTTGCGATCCTGGTGGCGTGTCTTGGCGAGGACAATCCAAAGGTGCAGCTGGTGGCGGAGTCCCTGCAGGCAACGCAGCACCGCCGCCACATCCTGCAGCGCTGCTCATACATTGCCATCCTCGCATGAGGGCGCGTGCGTATGTGTTTGCTGTGTGTGTGTGTGTGTGTGCTTGCTTTGTGTGTGTGTGTTTGCTCTGTGTTTGTGTTTGCTCTCTCTCTCTCTCTCTCTTGTGTCGAAGCGCATCCAGTTAAACGAAGGGAGCTGAAGCACTTGGTGACGTGCTATCCCTAATCTTGTCGCGATTGCTATCTCCCGCCAAATCTGTGTCGCCGCGACCCCCTCGTTCACCTAACAGCTCATTGGAAGTTCTTACAGGACAACTCTAACACCATGTAAATACGGCGTACTTATGGACAGTTGGAGCTATGCCTTGAAACCTACGAGCCAAAGTACGCAGGTCGGGGTTAATAAGCGCAAGATAAGATTAATATTGGCGTTTATCCACGTACTATCTTGTTCTCACTTGGGTCTGAGAACTTCGCTGTTATCACCATAAGAGACAGTAAATCGCTCTCACTCTTGATATCCTCGCTCTAGCGCACCACCGCTGGTCACTATGCCACGGCGAAAATTTCTCTGTCCCCACAGCGTGCAACACAACACTCCACGACTCTCCTCGGATGTTGCTTTGCTTGTTTTGTCCTTTTAAGACTTCAGCACTGTTAGTAACCTCTCTCTCTCTCTCTCTCTCTCTCTCTCTCTCTCTCTCTCTCTCTCTCTCTCTCTCTCTCTCTCTCTCTCTCTCTCTCTCTCTCTCTCTCTCTCTCTCTCTCTCTCTCTCTCTCCCCCCTCCCTCTCTCTCTCTGTCTCTGTCTCTCTCTGTCTCTGTCTCTGTCTCTCTGTCTCTCTGTCTCTCTCTGTTTGCTCTGCTCGGGCGAATGCTTTCGCTCAGCTTGTCCAATGTGTCTCTTTCTTTGCGTATGCGAACAGCACATGTTGTAGCGGAATGTAGACGATGCTGTAGGTGCCACATGATTCCTTTGTAATGATGCACCAATGAACGAACGAACCAACCAACCAACGAGCGAATGCAAAATGCAAAGATGAGCGAAAAGGGGTTCAGACAGGCGATGTGCAAGATGAACAACGAGTGAAAGCAAGGCGAACACTATCAAACAAAACGTTCAGCACCAGGAACGCACCACACAAACGATTTCACGAGAACAGCATGCACACACACACACACACACACACACACACACAACAACACACACACACACACACACAACAACACACACACACACACACACACACACACACACACACACACACACACACACACACACGCCCAAGCCGCCTGTTCTCTCGGCTTCACGCACAATAACAGCAAAAGCACAACTGCAAACAAACACAAGCCTGCTGCTGCCGCTACTCGAAACTACAAGACAACGCAGCGCCGCATAACAAGCGGATGTGCAAAGGAAGAAGACAACAGCAGGCCAGAGCAGGTGGCTTGGCTGGATAGCAATGAGCATAAAAGTGGCAAAGCCACGGAACGGGAGCAGCCACGATGCGCAAATCTCACGTCGGTAGCCATGAAGAAAAACCACACAAATGGAGCCACAGACCGGCAGACAGACAGGCAGGCAGGCAGGCAGATAGACAGACAAACTGGCAGGCAGGCAGACAGACATTCACACGCACATTAACACGAACACACTCACATTCACACTCCCCCCAACACATCTGCTAGTCGCGGGCGTAGCCGTCGTCGTCCATGAGCGGCGTCTGCTCGTGTGTGTTCACGCGCCCGCCAAAGAGGTCGTCAGCGCCATCGCCGCTGCTGTTCTTGAGGCGCACGGCAATGACGAGGGCGAGACACAGCGCCAGCACCACCGGGCCCGCAATGATGCCGCCAATGTGGATTGCATCGCGCGCCTTCACAGCAAGGCCGACCTGCAAGTGCGAGTAAGTGAGAGTGAGAGTGAGTAAGTGTGAGTGAGTAAGTGAGTGAGTAAGTGAGTGAGTGTGTGAGTGAGTGAGTAAGTGAGAGAGAGAGAGAGAGTGCGCGTGTGTGTGTGTGTGTGCGTGAGTAAGGGTGAGTAAGTGTGAGAGAGTGAGTGTCGCGATAATAGATGGCGAGCGAACGAGTGTGTTCGTGGGATGAGAAGTTTGTGGGATAAGAGAGGCCTTCGCGACGCTCTCGTTGTTCTCACCCCATTCTCCCTTCCAGCCCCCCAACACACGCAGCGCACGACCGACCTGGCTTTTCCACTGCTTGACGAGGTCGTCTGTTGCGGCGCCGTGCTCATCCACGCGCAGCAGCGGAAGATAAAACCCGTCAGACGTGATATTCTCGTACGCCTTGAGCTTAGGCACGGAGTGCACACGCAAGTTGACCTGCGGTGTTTCGGGGGGGGGGGGGTGAGGAGGAGAACGAGGGTGAACACATGCTATGGGTCGCTTATGTACAACTTGTTCGGGTGGACACACGTACAAAGGGCAACAACAACTTGTACAGATGGACAACACATCACACCACAACACGCCCCAAAACAACACACCCCAAAAAAAAAAGGGGCGCCTGCGGCCCCTGTGTGAAAGTTCTTGGGGGCGCCCCCGAGAGGGGTCCCCAACAAAAGTCGTGTTGTCTAGAGTGCGGGTTTGCGTCCCCAATGTCCCACACCCACAACTGGGAACACGGGGCCCCGTCTAGGAAGATTTTGTTTGTCTTGTAAAAACAAGGGCCCCAAGAAGAAGAAAAAAACGCGGGT